GAAGCAAAGAACCCCAGTCCCCAGTTCCAGTGCCGTGTGTGATAACATGTCTGAGAAGGCGAGGTGGCAGAACTGCGGCGGCGGCGCTGTAGCGGTCTGCGGTCCGACCCCAGCCGGCTGGGCCGGGGGCGGACGGAGCCCGTGCGCCGGCCGGAGGGGCCCCGGCCGGCGCCAGACGCCGCACAAACACTGCATGCGACATGACATCAGCGGCGGCCGACGCTCTGGGCCGGCTCGGTCGGCGTGGCCGGCACCGGAAGCCGCTGAGCGGGACAGGTGGCGCCGCCGAGATGCCGACCGGCACCGGCCCGGCCGCGCCGGGCGGTCCGTCTGGAATGCGACCCTGGCCGCCGCGATCACACCTCATCGCCGGGAAAGGCGTAAGGATGGGCGCTGGCAGCCGAATGCTCTCTTGTGCGGGCTAGCGCATGCTCGACCGTGAGACGTTAGGTCCGCGAGACGCCCTCCCCCGGCACACGCCTGGAGCCGCCACTGCGGCGCACGCCGTTCGTCTCCTGGACGCGTCCCTGCGCTGACCGCCGTGAACTCCAGCCTCGACCGAGTGCCGGGATGCTGAAAGAGCCGCTATTGCCTGTGATACACCGATACACCGCGCCACAGGCGACAGGTGGCGCGCAGAACGTCGGACAGGTGTTTGACGTGGCGACTCCTTCCGCCAAGCGGCTTTGTTTATGAGACCGACCAGGTAGGTTCGGCCGTGCGTAACATTACCTTCTTGCGGTACCTGAGACCTCGACCAGCGCTATACTGAAGTGAGTAAGAAATCCACACTATTGGTCTTGGAGCATACAGATAAGATCACGAGTTATTCTCAGTATGATACTTCATCGCGGTGCACTGACAAAATGCAACAGAAGAACATGCACGACATGATATGCAAAAGCCATCTGGCACGGCCTGCAGAGAGGAAACATAAGCAATTGCAGTCTCTCCCCGCTGCAGAAATACAGATCCATGAGCTAAACTTCACTGCCATATCAAAACATGTTGAGTTCCACCGAATTCCGGTCCCTCAGTGGGTCTTCTGTTTACCAGGCCACGGTGGCTGAGCGGGCGGGCGCGGTTTTCTACAGCAATATGCCGCTCGACTCAAAAGGAGTTTTCCCTCTTGTTCATGTGAACAAAGGTCAGTCAAAACCAGCGTAAGAGATTTCGGATCCCGGGGTGGAGTACCCTTTTCCATCCAGGTCGGAGGCAAAAGTATGATGAACCTCAAAAAGCCTCATGCGATGGTGTTAGCACCTCTTGGCATTGAATTTGCCTTGCTTTCTTCATGCTTTTTTGGCAACAACTGCCTCAACTAGTTTTGCTTATCAACTAAATTTTGCTGTGCTCATACCTCCAGGTAAACGCCTTGACTTAACTCACATAAGCGAGCCTTGAATATATTACATGATTCGCAAACATTGAAAAACTGGCAGCTCCACTTCCCATCACGCTACCTCGACAGCACTCTTGTAATCCGTATATTGCTAATCTGCTGGTTACAGATGGAAGAAGCTTTGGAGCGATTGCCGTTTGGGCCTGCATGCTACGTCAATATAAAATCATCCTTTTCTGTTGTCTTTAACCCAACGCCTTCAGCAAGGTAATGGGCACACACACAGGGGGGGGGGGGGGGGGGCTAAGAGAACATTTTCATATGAAAGCTAGTCAGAACCTATGTCTTTTCAGGTTGGCGTTCAGCCCGTCTCTTGGTTATAACTTGAACCGAATATGAATAACGCAGAAGACTAGGTTCAATGACAATTGCTGACTTGTTACCTTTTATAACCCAATACAAGAAAAAACCACAACTTAACTCCCAAAAGCAAGGAATGGATCACACAATAACGTGAATCACCAGCTCTAACGAACCTGTTCTCATTAGGACACAAAACTCATTTGGACACAAAATGTAACTCCCTGGACTTCAAAACCCTGCAGCATATCTCCTAGAAATTCTTCCGTAACTTACTTCTCAGTGACACAAAACAAAACCTTTATTCCTAAGCAGCGAAACATTTAAGGTCGTCAAATTTTGAAACATATTGACCGTTTTGTTGACTTCCCATCGGGCGCCGTGAGGTTAACGTGGTTCGGACGGCGAGTACCGCCTAGGGCCCGAAATACCTGATTCTTCTGCGTCAAATCTGCCACGAAATCTTCAGCCATGTACACCGGTGCACAAAACACCAACCGTAACGCGCCTACAGTAGTCACAATGCGCCTTATCGTCCTACACATCGCGGTCTGTAATCCTTCTATTCCACTTTCCTCAAGCATCAAGAAACTACCCACCAGCACGGGTTCCACGCCTTTTCTTGTCTACCATATTCGGCTTCACAGCTGAGTCAGCGAAATCTGTTCTGATGCGCAGCATCATTGCTATTTCTGTTTTCGTACACAATTTTTTTCTCGAAACGTAGAGGCAAGCCACTGAAGGCACAAACGTCGGCACCGCCAAGCACCTTGCAATAGCCAAACACGCGTCGGCGAGCCCGGAGACGCCTTCGGGGCAGCCCCGAGAAAGGAGGAAAATTCCCGCCCATAGCGAGGCCGTTTGTGAGGGAGTCCGGGGAGTACTCCCGGAGGCGTCTCCGGCTCGACCCCGGCACGTGGAGACGCAAATGTAGACAAGGTTGGCGAGGATATGACGCGCGCAATGTTGTGCAATGAGAGCACCGAGGAAATTTGGCCCGAATTCAAGGTGTGGGTGAGTGGATGGGGTAACGTTGGTGTACCTTGGTAATAAAGTAGTGCGAGATGGCATATTTGACAACATAAATTCATGGGACGTTTACGTGCCTGGTACTTGTTTCATATGGATCACAGATGCATGGTTCTAGCACGGAGATTTTCGCGGGTTCTTTCTATCTAGCATAAAATTCGGAACAATAATCTTATCGGGGTTGATTTCGCTGAAGACGTGCTACAATTCCCACCCCGATCTGAAACGGGCGTGTAGTTCAACAAAATGAGTCAAGGGAGTGGGAGAGGCTGAACAGCAAAACGTGACCCAACCCACCCACACAGTATGCCAACAAACAGGTTTCTCCCCAGATTTGGCCTACTTTCTTTCCAATGATGAAGGAGCAGCTCAAGTCGAAGTTGGGAGGAGGGGGAGGGGTGGGGGACGAAGCCCCCAAACTGAATAAGAAACTCCACCCCTGGGCCGAACATAAAGCATCAAAGCACTGTAACGTAAAACGTAGGTCCAGCGCTAGTACGAGCGCTGCGCAGCCGGGTTCAGAGTTTCGCTGGGCGCCATAATGGAACAGTTAACTGCATCCCTGCAGGTGGTTCTATAATAAGCCATGCAACATTCCACTGAGTCAATAGTGCACCAGTAAAACTGATCGCCAGCGAGACTTGTACTTGACATCTTGTGCGGAATAGAACTGGTGCTGGTACTTCAAGCCCATGCACTGGACGTGTGGAACATGCTTGGCCATTAAATGATGACAGAATTCAACTGGTAAAGGGTGCAATGAACCAGCCCGGGCGCAACCAGGTGGGCAGCGCTAGACCATGAATCCCTTCAGCCAGACACAACGTGGTCCCACGAACCCGTTCAGCCATTGGCCTGTTCAGACACATCCGTTCGACCGTCTTCACACCGCACCGCTCAGCCCCGGCCGCTGGTGACGTCCGATTGGTGTTGGTGGTGACGTCCGACTGGTGCTGGTTGTGATGTCTGACTGGTGCTGATGGTGACGCCCGATTGGTGCTGGTTGCGACGAGGACGTGTGGGACGCGGTCCGGCTCGGCGCGACCCTCTCCACCCGGCGTCACCGCCGACATGTCGGCCGCACCCAGTCCCCAACATAAACAGGCCCCCGGCGATAGGGGTAGCGGCCGCTGCCGGCCGCCCAGACGCGGCATTTAAATCTTTCAAGGCCGTCCGGCAGGCGGGCGGGCGGGCCGGCCGGTGGCGGCGGCGGCGGCGGCCTGGACAGCGCCGTAACCGTCACGTGGGCCCGAGCCGCCGCCGGCCGGCCGGCCCCGGCGGGGAGGGGCCCGGCAGCCCGCGCTGTCCAGCAGAATCAGGCTCAAGGGAGCGGCCGCGGGGGAGCCGTATGAATCACCCGCCGTGTCGGCCGAGTGATCCGGCGCCAGACGCCCCGCCCCGCCCCCTCCCAGTGAGACGCGAGGGGTCACGCAAGGGGGTTGGGACCGGGCGCCGCCGGCCACCTCCCCTGCAGCATGGTAATGAGAGTACCGGACGCCGATGCCTGAGTGCAATGACCCGGCCGGGCGGGCGGCGACGGCCGCGACAACGCGGCGGGCGGCAGCGACCGGCCGATGCCCACCGGTGATTGCAGGAAAGGACCAATCGGGCGGGGCCGGAGGCGTGCGCCAAGGGATTGTTGTTGGCTCGCGGCGGCCGGCGTTGTCTGGTTGGTTGCTCACGATCTGCCAGCTGCTGTCAGCGGCGCAGACTGCGAGCAGCCTGCACAAGCTTGTTTAACGCGTGGGCATGAATGCGACAGACGGGCTTTACTGATGGTGTTTTGGTTTGGGTGTCATGGTTTCGCACCTGTGCCAATCGTAATGTGGCGCGGAAAGTTCCTGTTTGTGTTGTGCAGGGTCGCGTGTTTTGACGACCCGTACATGACGCGGGGGCCCATGGGCACTGCCCACAAAAAATCGGGATTTGCTACCATGTCTTTGGTTTCGAAATGCACAACCTGCACTTGCTGGCTAAAAAGCCATCACCGAGTCCGTGCTATGAGCTTCAGGACAAATGCTGTCGGTCAAAGCATCTCTATGCCTCACTCCTAGGTTAGCAGAAGGCAGAACTGTGCGTCCCTGCCTACGCCACCGTCGCGAAAACCAAGCCTCCGCCAGCACGGACTAGCTGTCTTCCCAGTGGCGCAAAGGTTATGACGCTTCCCACCTGGATGAGGGCCTCCAAACGCACCTACCATGCAACACAAAGGTGACCTAATCTTCACCAGCCCCAGACCCGCTAGCCCGGCGCCCTCAGCGGCTCGTACCTCAGTGGCCGGTGTTCTCCTCCCCTCCAGCCGTGGGCGGTGCTGCTCCAGGCACCGCGTGAATTTCACCCGGCTGCCAACTTGCGGTGCCTCCCTCCGCCACACGACTGCGAGTCTTGCTGCGACCACGGGCGCCGGCGCCCGCTGCCAGTTCGGCGCACTGCCGCGCGATGGTGCCACCTCCGCGGCTGCCGGCCAGCCGCCAGGTGGCGCCGGCGCTGCGCGATGTGGCCGCCAGGGCTGTGGGCGTGCGCGATCTCACAGCGGAGCCTCGTCTACTTGAAGGGAATAGAGCCTCCACATCGTCTCGGTGACGTGCCAGTGACGCCGTAGGCTGGCGCGGTACCGACTGCTGTCTAGGGGGTCGCATGGCCCCGAGACTGGCGGTACCGGCTGCTGTCTAGGGGGTCGCATGGCCCCGGGACTAACGATACTGGCTGCTGTCTGGGGGGTTGCATGGTCCCGGGACTGGCGGTACCGGCTGCTGCCTGGGGGTTGCATGGCCCAGGGACTGGTGGTACCGGCTGCTGCCTGGGGGTCGCATGGCCCAGGGACTGGTGATACCGGCTGCTGCCTGGGGGTTGCATGGGCGCGGGACTGGTGGTACCGGCTGCTGCCTGGGGGTTGCATGGGCGCGGGACTGGTCTGGTGGCACCGGCTGCTGTCTGGGGGGGGGGGGGGGGTCGCATGGCCCCAGGACTGGCGCAGCCGAGAATGCAAGTGGCATCGCTTGACATTCTTATCTGCTGTATGCTCTGCATTGGACCGTATGCTTCACTTTCCTTCACATTTGGGACGCCAAGAGGACTGGGGTGTACTGAAGCCGGGAGTGAGCGTGCATGTGATCCGTGAAGCATCTGTGTCTAAGCCTTCCGCTCTACTTTCCTCATTCTCGCTTCAGCCCTCATCCTCGCGACACCCCGTTTATCTGGGCCAGGCCACATGCACCAGCCATGAGCGCGCCCAAGCACACCCCCTGGTTGGGGGCCCCTCCGAGTGCTCAGCACAACTCGAGAAAGGCGGACGTATTTTCGGCGGATGGACCCACAGGTGCGGGTAGTTCTGACCCGCCGTTGTCCTTCAGGCCACAGCTCTAAAATAGCGATGACTGACCGAAAGGTCTCTAATCCAAACAACCCAAGCTATGTTTAAGAATGCGATCGCTGAGACCGGGGCAATGACGTCAACCGATATGGCAGTTATTCGCATCCGTCATATGGCGTGAAGTGAAGTGAAACAGTGTTGCCAAACTACTGCCCATGTCAGTGGAATCGCACAAGACACAATATTCCAGGGGGGGGGGGGGGGGGAGGCGCCATCAGGAGAAATGAAAAACATTCAGTGGCGGCTCTGGCCAAGACAAGGAATGTGATATATGTTCTTAATTTCAGCGGATTAGAATACCGATTCCGTGTCTCCTGGCACGTTGAAGGTCGTTTATGTACTCGATACATGGCGCACTGATGCAATTAAAAGGGATGTTTCACATATGGAGACATTGGAGCAAGCATCGAATAAGATGAAATAAGTTCACTTATAACTATTGGTATACTTTAAAGTAGAAAAACTGTTCTGGGCAACGAAATTTCTTTGTTAAGCCAATATGCTCCTCGGTGTGTCATTGTTTGATTACGTCATCGCACCTCGCACAGCATTGAGAGCCATCTGAAGGCCGTTATATCTGGAACTCGTGTTCACGAACGCTAGATATGAACGACTCGATCATTTCATTTCTTTTTTGCCTTGATCACCGCATGGCTTATGAAATGGCAGGATTTGAAAGACGTTATTAGAAGTCATGAATTCCATGGTGACCTTGAAATACTCTCCCCGAAATAGTGTCTCCGTCTGCGCGGACGTATAGCTCAGAAACAAATAGTAAAGGATGGGCATCAGCACGGAATGGTTGTTACTGTTCTGCAAGCTCGCGCTAAGCTCGCAAATGATACCCGCCCCAATCAGCATGGTGGGCGCCTGGGACTGGCCAACGATGCACGCTCTTCGGACGTGACTGAAGAACACATCTGTGGACTGTGACTTAAAAGGGGTATCCCACCTTAACGTCATATTTCAAAAACATATTCAAGTAAAACTTCAGTTACGTCTAAGAATGGCATAATCAAGATGTCAAAATTTAATCACTCTGGGGTCCAAATTACGCTGTCAACGATTTGTAGCAGCAGTTCGTTTCTTCCTGCAGCCGCGACCATCATCGTCATGACGACCGCCGTGCGCACCTCTACTGGTGTAAATACAAGAACGCTTGTGATTGGTACAGCAAACAAAGGCCTGCTACCGAGATCATGCGATAGTCCCATTACCAAAGCCAAAGTGCGCCCCGAAGAGAGCCGCTGTAGTAAACGCCCCTGGGGATAGATCAAAGCCATAGCGTGACGTTTCGTTGAATTTGCGGGATAACAGCTTTATGTCTGCACATATTTTTGTCTTAACAGAATGTTTTAAGTTTCCGTACCATCTATTGCGCAAGAATTTTGGCGCATAAGTATGTTGCAAACATTACAGAACACACAAGCAGAAAAACCAAGGCCAACGAAATGCATAAGTTTCCTAGCGATAAGCAGGGACTCAAGTGAGAATTCTTCCTCGGGGTCGGCTCCTTTAAATCGAAATTCTGAGCTATTCAGGAAGGGTTTGAGAAAGTCCCCACATTCCTCGTAAGGCTTATCAGCGCGTCCCTGCCGCTGGGAACACGATTGAATTACAACTCGGAATTTTCCTTCTTCGAGTTATGACAATAAATTACTCAACACCACGACCATCCATCCGCCGCCATTTATGACGCTGATCTGTCCCCCGCATATGTTTTCGCACATCCGCAGTGGACGCTGTCACCAAAACCAGCCGATTTTCCAGTCCAGTTACCACCTCGTTTCCCACGAGGCCGCTCAATCTACACGTGTCGCAAAGCAAAGCGGCAACAAGAGACCTGTACTAAATCACTGCGGGAAACAGCGGAGGAGAAGAGGAGCGTGAAGCTGGACTGGAGCAGGAAGGTGGATAAGAAGTTCAGGCAGCATGCTGACAAGAAGCGGGCCGTCGCCCGCGTGAGGAAACTGAAGCGGCTGAACGTGATGAAGAAACTGAAGGCGTCTGGCGGCTTGTTCGCAGGCGCTGAGGAGGTGGCGGCCCACTTGAAGGTTCTCGGCACAAAGAGGAACAACAGAGGATGAATTGCGAATTGCAGTGTGCTAAGAATCAAGCAACACACTGCCTGAGGCGCACACAATCTTCAGAGTGCAGGACATGATCCCCAAAATAAAGAGGAAGGAAAGTGTTGTTCAGCTCTATAAAAATGCTGCTTGACTTGTGATGCAAGAGAGTCAAAATATTGAACGAAAGTGATGTCACTATTCCACGAGGCCAAGATGAGTGGGACAATGCTGGGGCAGCCACGGATGGAGAGGCTCGCCGGCCTGATAGACGACTCACCCGCCGGAGGGAGGGGTCTCATCCGCCGGAGGGCGTGAGATAGACACCCGCCGGAGGGAGCGGTCTCGTCAGCCGGAGGAAGGGGGCTCACCCGCCGGAGAGGCGACTCATCCTCCGGAAGGGGCGTCTCATCCGCCGGAGGGGGCGGCCCACCCACCGGAGGGGTGAACTCACCGTTCAGAGGGGGACTCTCCCGCCAGAGGGGCGACTCATCGGTCGGCTGGGGCGGCCCATGTCGTCAGACGCGGACCAGCCATCCGCTGCACGCTCCGGGCGGAGGCGTCGACGTTGGCTGTGATACGGACTTCTGCCAAGTGTGGCTGTCCCTACTCCGCGCCAACGTGGGGTAAGTGCACTGCGAGAGGATATGGCCTTTCCGCAGTCACACCAACGTGACGCTACGTGTGTGCGAGAGCATGATCAGTGGCGGTTCTTTTGGAGAGTGCATTCCTACTACAGGTTGGCCGGTGCACCACACCCCATCTTTCAAATGGTAATACAATTTTTTGTCGTGGTTACCTTATGAGTTAAGCTTTCTGCGCAATTCTAAGCTGCATCAAAGGGTGAACTGGTCGCTCCTTCTCTCTTTGACCCTGTCAAAAGAACAGTGATAGAACTATCGCCTGGAGCATTGCTGGAGGTCACGACCGGCGGCTGCCACTGGTGATCCATATCAGCGCCAAACCATCATAATAAAACAAATGCATGCATTGTTTAACACCCACTTAACTGATGTAATGGTTCTCACTTCCTGATGAACATTGTTTCCCTTTGACATGAATACGGGGCCTAGCAAACAGGATGACAATGAAGATGTTAATTTTTAGCCCAAAATGTGGATAGCTACTTTCAATTTTTCTAGGGATTCAATCAGCTGATTTGGTTTTCCAAGATTGGGCATGGGATCAGATTTCTTCGTACCTAACCATCGCTTGCTGCGGAAACCCCGGCCTTGAATTTGATGTGAGCTGACATCAATGGTAGTCAAAGGAAGCTGACACGACCTGAGGGAGCAAGGAGTTAAATCAGACTGTTGGCATGGCGGTGTCAGCAGTCTGATTGTGAAATGGTGACAGATGCGCAGGCGCCGGCTACGCCTTGGGACACGAGTTGGGGGAGGGGTTCAACGATGAAGTATTCTAAGGGGCTACTTGCTGTACCTGGGCGTTCGTTTGCATGCAACGACGTAGGTGTATCTTAAATTCCGCAAAAATAGGTGAGAACGTCCCTGTCGCCCTTTTTCTCTGTGGCACATTTTGGTCGGCGCTTGAAGGAAACATGATAAGGAATAGTGAGCAAGATACCAACCGTGTCGACCTGTAGTATCAGTCAGTCCGTCCATTATGACTAGTCATGTCCATTATGACTATGACTATCAGTCCATTATGACTATTGCAATAATACGTTTAAAGAATGTTTGGCGTCTTTGCTTTAACAGTGTCTCCCAATAGACGGAAGGCTTATTATTTCCAGCATAAGAACTCGCAATGCTAAAGTCAGGCCTCATGCCCAGTATGCAGGCAGACCGGCTGCGCAGCTGACTCGTCGCTTGCCCAGTACGCGGGTAGACCGGCTGCGCAGCTGACCCTAGGCGCCTGCTCAGCAGGCCACCCTGATCGGGGACAGGGTTAGAAGCTCACTGGCGAGGACTCGGC